CTCGACAGCGGCGCAGACGTCAACGCGCAGGGCGGAGATTATGGCAACGCACTGCAAGCAGCTTCAGCAAGAGGCCACGGCGAGATCGTGCAGATTCTTTCTGAACACATAACACTGCTGCGATGTTCCAGTAAGCTTGAGGATAATTCAAGCTCAGGTAAGAAGCGGCGCCGAGGCCTCCTTGCCGAGGATGCAGCTAAAAGGTTTAAAGCAGCTGCATATGGTCATGAAATCTAGACACGATACTATCGTTTATTACGAATATACTTTGGATAATATACTGCTATGCCTCTGATAAGAATGGCCGCCTTGCTGTACAGCCCTAAGCGCCTCTTGTAACGTCGTGACAGTAACAAAAGTATGGCTTGACAGAGCTTTGCATATGTTTGTCCATCATTCGGCGGTGGTGCGGTAAGATACAGATAAGCCAGGGGATACCTAAGAAGAGGATGAATCTCTATACTGCAAGTCGTTCCTCATGACCATGGTGACTGGTCGAAAGTTTGCTAGGAATGCTTGATCGCGAAACACCAATAGACCCAGTTATACGACATACGGCAAGCAGCATCTGCTTACTAGGATAGCTGAAAGGTTCCGTCCTAATTTGATCTAACTGGGCAACAATATCGGAGCTGTGGCCACTAATGAATGTGCTCCTAAGTACATTTTACTCAATAGGTGTGACTGCCTGATAAATACGAGCTTCATGTTTCCAGCCTGGCTCACTTGACCATCATCCTTGAGGTTCTTACTTCGTATTGCTATCTAGAACGCTGGCGCCGTACACATCCGCAGAATGGTCATAGCCAAGCGTCTAGGGACACTTGTAGCTAGTTTTAGTAATTATTCTGGCGTTCGTAAACATCTTTGTTATCGCCACGGCGCGTAATTCAGACTCTATACTAAAGATACGGCGCTACGCGCGGCTGTCTGTTTGTGGCACCGAGTTTTATTGGTCGAGTAAACACTGATACACGTATGCAGTGCCTTATGCTTATAAGTTCCACACATGCTCCGCCTGGCTTTTCTAGTTGACGCTCCGTCTTCTCGATCTCTGATATTCCAAATCTAGGCAGTTTTCCACACGAACGGCAATACCAGAAACCGAAACTGACTTTGTATACGACTGAACACGTTATCGAGCCAGCTGTTTCACTCGGTGTCTGAGTTTTCTTGCATGGACAACACAGGACTACTCTACAGAAAACGACAGCAGGAATGTGGCTATCATCGGATCTCCTGAGCATCTGTCGCTCCATCACTTCTTCAGAATCAGACTCTCCAATTCCTATCACGAACTTAGAGGCATCTCGGACTTGTCATGTCATCAGAATTTTGCCAGGATCTAGTGCTCAGCGAGCGCAGTCTGATTACTTCCCATTATTGCAATTGCCTCTGGACATTTTGACTATGCATCTGAATACGCTTCTTCCACATGCGTCTCTGGTGTCTCTTCGTTCCAGCTGCTCGAAATTACGCACCGCAATTCCATCACCTCCGAAGAAACGACTGGTTGATTCAGAGCAGTGTGAGACCAACGCGCTACTCGCTACTTTGGAGGAAGGACGAGAACGACCCTTACGCATGTTCTGCGCACTCTGCTCGGCTTGTTACCCGGTCGTCTTGTTCGCTTGGGGACCTGAGAAACACTTAGTGCAGAAAGCTGGTATCGACAAAAAGGCGGCCGAGAGTCTAGAGATAGGGCTTGCCGACACGCAGAATGGCGAAAGCGCCAGTGAAGAACGACACGCAGGGAACAGCAACGAACTTGACAATCGGGTCTGCAGATGGCATCGTGCAAGATTCGAACGGAAAGTCTTAACAGGTCATGGAGCGATGAAGTCAGAGTGGACACTGGAGGAAGCCTGCATGCATCGTGGAGGCGTACTTGCTTGGGGGAGATGTGATTGCAAGGGTTTGTGCCAGACTTGCTGGAAAAGGAGTGTTTGGTGCCATACAGAAGTTGTGGATACGGAGCTTGCGAACGACGTTATCTAGCCAGAACACTTGTCGCCTCTAAGACTGCGGAACATAAGTCGCATACGTCATGATACACAGGGGAGTCCGTTCGCTCATGCGTCCTGGATCAAAGACTGAAACTTCCTTTTCCACAGGTCTATATAGTCAACAAGCACTCTTGTTGGGCATTTCTTGATAGTGGCCAGGCTTCATGCCAACATCCACAACACTAAAGGCACTATCTTGTTGTTCACCGCTGGTTCCCATCTCATTGAATACTCAGGATCAGGCTTAGCTTCTTGTTCGAGAGGAGCCGGGCCATACACATGAAGATGGCACCACTACAAGTCACGTTACCCGAGCAGGCGGAAACAAGTAGATTAGATGTCATTGAACAGACTGGGAAAAGAGTGAATCGGAAGACCAGTTGCTAGAGAAACTCAATCATTTGGATCGATGGCGTACGGTATGCTCCTATGCACAATACAAGCTCTCTCCGAGGCCGGCCTAATCAGCCCGCAAGCGTGCGAGCGTGCCACTGAAACGAGTCCGAAGAGGCTAGATGTCTCTGAATACACTTCCTTTAGACAGAGAATCTAGAAAGTCGGCAGCTGGCTGGACCTTTAGGCCTGGCGGATACCAGAGAGTGTATTTGCATGTCCAGTCTGTTTGTTGATCTTTTCGGACGTGAGCAGCGAAGATACAGGTACGGCAGAAGCTATGAACCTTCGTCTGTTAAGCAAACAGATGAGCAACGCCAAATGCGACAAATCCGCGCCAAGAACGCGGTCGATACCATATCCGGCTAGCGCAGCATCGCAGCCGGCCTGGACTCTATCTGATTTGGGGCGTTCATGCGCCGCCCTACGACCAGTACGCTTATTGGAAAATCGACGGCCACGACTGCATCGATCATACTCCAGTCGTTAGTCGGCAGACCGCCCGACCGACTATTGCTTTCTGACCGATCTATACACAGATCAACGAGCTAGAGTCCAATCAGTTTTGCCCTCAACAAGACGCATGATCAGCGCGCCCAGGAACCTCTTGCATTGACCGAATTTGTTGAAGCATCCACATCGATGATTCCCTCGACTCGCTACTTGCCACGAGAGACAAGAACGCAAGAAGCAATTGACATGGCGCGCCTAGTACCGCGGCGCAAGCTAGCTCCCTTGACCTATAACCTCAGACGCCGTACCCATCGCGACGTGGCCGAGGTCCATGAGACGCTCACACGAGATCAGTCTGGGAATAGCAATGTCGACGACGCTTCACAACCGTCATCCAGCGCCTCAGGCCATTGGCCGTCTAATCATAGTGCCAAGACCTTGGATGTGCATGTTGGAGCGGACAGCATACCTGCTAGGAGTGTTCCTGACAAGCCGCACGCGAAGTGGTATCGGCATAGAGCCTCCTCTGACCGGTCGAATCACATGCCAAACCCTGACATCCGCAAGTGCACTAAGAAAAAGCGGAATGCGACTAAAGCCGAGAAAATAGACCGCAGACGGAGTGGCCGGCTACTGGCAATCAAGCGCTCTGGAGAGATGAACGAAGCGGCACAACATGCTACAGACACCGTTGATACCCAGTCGACGCTTATTAGAGGGTCCAGCTCCTTCATAAAACGCCGCAGTATATTCGCTTCACCCACATCCTCCTGCTTCAAGCCAAAAGGACTTCTGAACACTTCTGGCAACGTTTCTGCTCCTCGCCACCATTCAACCCGCGAGGCAAAGCCAAAGGCTTGGACCAGGATCTACAAAAATCGCTTGGTCGGCGACGCCAAAAGATACTGGAAGAAACCAAAGATCGAGACGTCGCTATGCATCTGTACCGCACCTGTGCTCGGATCTCTAGAGCCTGGGTGCGGTGAACGTTGTCTGAATCGCGTCATGGGTTATGAATGCGATCCAAATAACTGTGGCCTTGGAGAGTTGTGCACAAATCGCGACTTCACAAGGCTTGCGATTCGTTTGGAACGCACAAAGAACGCCGATCAGAGGTCGAAATGTGATTCGTCCAGTATCGGTGTCGAGCTGTTCAAGACTTCAGACCGGGGCTTTGGTGTTCGCGCTTGCACGCAATTCGAGCCGCGCGAGATCATCGTCGAACACACTGGGGAGATCATCACACCCAGTGAGGCTGGCAGGAGAATGGAAGAGGATTCCAAGGATAAGGCCCTGAGACTCGATTTCGTGATCAGCTTTGGTCGTGCGTCACATTCCTCCGGAACTTCTATCAAATGGACTCTGACCGAGGCATGATCCTCGATGCCACCAAAGGCTCTATCGCTCGTTTCGTCAACCATTCCCGCGAACCCAACTGCAAGATGCTCAAAAGATTTGTCAAAGGCCAACCCCGAATGGCTTTGTTTGCAGGTGACTATGGCATCTTGACCGGCCAGGAGTTGACTTACGACTATAACTTCAAGTGAGTTCAGAGTCCATCTATGATCGGCGTGCAACGACCTTACGGCTGTATAGTCCTTACTCCACTAAGGATGTCCAGGAGTGCCGTTGTGGTTCAAGCAACTGCCGAGGCATCCTAGGCCCGAGACTCAAAGACAACAAGAAGCCGGTAGACAAGGCAGGAAAGGGACGAGTAGCTCATGGCAGAAAGTGCAAGATTGGCGGGCCAGCAAGCACTGCTCTTGCAGCTAAAGTGGTCAAGGAGCTTTCTCAGAAGCGCAAGGTTCCACCAATGCCCAAGGGTTGGGTGTATGTTGATAAGGGTATGGAGAAGATCATGATCGAAGAAGCGCGCAAGGACAAGGAGATCACCTGGTTGCAGAAGGAGGGTGTTCTGCCTGCGACCTTCCAAACTAAGCAACCCAAGACTAGGACTTGCTCATACCGGGGCAAAAGAAAAGCCATATGACTGGTTCAAACATCCAACATCGGAATGCCTGCACACAGAACGAAGGTCACGTCTGAGGCCCTGAAAAAGAAGTCTTGAAAACAAGACAATGGCCATACATTGAGAACAAGAAGATGGCGGCTCAAAAGGACGTCCGAAAATCATCTTTGCAACTTCGAGACGAAACGACATGGTCCGTTAACATATTACTAGTGGAAGTATGCTACATTGCTCGGCAGAGACCGGACTGGTAGCAAGAAGGACTTCGCCGAAACGACTCGCACCTGAGAAGCGGTGGGGATGGTCAAGCAGTAGAAAGGTAGGCATAAATGGAAACCCTAGAAGAAGAGTATGGCTGGAGTGTCTCGAGGTGAACTTGCACAATGACATTCCTTTCTACCACCTGACCAGGTTTGTCATCATATGGACCTAAGCCTCATTAAGTTATACAAATTGGTTTATTTGCTTCTTTTCTTTGACCCCCACACACTAGTACTAACATCAGCATGATCCTCCCCACTATTCTTCGCCTCGCAACCTTTTCGGCCTCTGCCACCTCCTCTGATCCTATACTACGTCTTGCTGGATCTATCCATAAGCTCAAACTGAAGTCATGTACTCGATCTTGGCTGCGAACATTCCTCACAGAGTTCCCTTCATCGAATTTCTCAAAGCTGGTTAGGCCGGCTTTGGCGGTGAAACATACGCATTTGCCATATTGAACGCTCCCTAACAGGGCAAGTACGATGGAAGGAACACCTATAGGTGATTGCTAAAAGCTGGACTTCATTCCAACAGAGGGACTTAGCGCCAAAGCTTTGGCAGCGATGACTGCCGACAGGTAGTTATGAACAAGAGTGTATTTTCAAAACAACTCAGACTACAAGATGAGCTATCTCCTAGTATCCACAGCAAAATCAATACGAGATGAGCGTCATGACCGAAGCTCCAGACAACAGTCTGGGGTAAGATAGAATGTTGCCACCGAGTTGGTAAGTGCCATGTTGGCTGTTACCACTTGGAGAAAGATCCAAACAATTTTGCTCCTAGGTCTTTCCCAGAAGATATCTGCCAGACTCCATGTAGACTAGCGTTAGTGCGGTACTCTCGATGCTCAGCACGACAGTGAGATACATCTCTCGATAAGGGAACAACCACATCATCAAGCACCAGTGATCCAGATGACTTGCACTCCAATGAAAACACGTTTGCCTTACAGAAAAGAGATCATACTCTGGACGCCCGAGTCTGGCCGGGACAAGTCTCGGTTTTGACTTGAGTGCGGTCGCTGGAATTGGACGGCCTCCCTTGATTCTGGAGGAAGGAAGCTGGGACCAAATCCCTCGCACAAGACATGCAATGATGATATTTGTGAGGCATCTTCGTCACCAAGCGACTGCTCTTCTTCGCTCAAGCCATGGATGCTCGAATCGTTGTGGGTGGCAACGGGGTTGGAAGGGCCGCTTCTTCCAAGACCAGGAGTATTTTCGGACACCTTTTCCGGCTTTTGCTCTGATAACGGCCAATCTGATGCAATTATGACAAAGCTTCCTTTCGAGTGTTTATAAGCCTCAGTAACCGTAGGCTGGGTTGATGGCGGTTCGTCAGTTGGGGAGATTGGAGCTGCAGCGGCGATGGGCTTCGGGCTAGATGAACTTCTAGGAGCACTACATGAAATAGAGCTCAGGATCTGTCCTGTGTGTGAAGGTCGTGTTCCATTCGAGTTTGTTGCTTCTTTTCCGTCGTCTCTTTGCGGTATCTGGCTCTTAGCTTTGATAAATCTTCTTAGAAACTTGAATCAAGATCTGATTCTGGCTTTGCCATGGTCGGTAGGTCCAGAGGCATGATCTTTATCGATGTCTATCGAGTTTTGCAAGGCTTGCACACAATCAAACTTCTGTGAGCCGAATGAACCGTTCGTGAGAGGCATCTTTCAACAGAAGGTGATAAATAGGATGAACGAGCGAAGAGTCAAGTCTACAAGATCGTATCTGGAAAGGTGTGACTACGTGAGTAGAACAAGAAAAGTGAACGGAGGAGGAATCAAAGGAACACATCCAATCCTTTTCGCATTTTTCCAATGCTATTGACTCGCGCTAGGCGGCATCGAACAGCCACCACCCCCTGCCAAATCCTCCTGCCCCGAAAAGCCTTCTTGGAGACTGGGATCATCACCATCCAACCTGAGTAGAGAAGAGGTCTAGCGGAGAGTGATTCGTGAGAACCTGTGCAGGCGCCACCACAATCTTGTGCCTCTTTCACGTGGAAGAATCTCAATTTAGCGGACGGGCTAGGATAAGAGTCCCGAGCACCGCGAATGCAGCAATAGATGAATTTTCATATAAACATCATGCATGTAAGTGTTCCTTGACACTGTTCTGGTAGTCAAGCAGCACTTGCTTCACATCTAGATCAATTTTCCAACACGAAGGTACTTTTGAGATAGTCTGTGCTCTGGCTCTTGTGCTGGCTCGGGACAGAATGGCTGCCGGACAAACGAACTGCCGGCGATGAGACCTCAACAGCAGTCCGAAGCTACGTGGCTCGTAGGCTCATGTGTCTTGTTGACTCCCTTGCATGCACTTAAACCACGTAAGCAGTTTGCCAGCTTCTGCCCAAGATCAACAGCTGACCTTGCGGGAGTGGCCAATTGCAGACTAGCTTACATGTTTCTGCTAGTCACGTGGAAAATGCTGGGACTACTCTGACGTACTGATACACAACCTGGCATAGTATACGATCATTGTCACTCTAACCTTGAAAAGTCGGGTGAAACCTTATATCAGGCTGCATTCATGTGGGCTTCAGTCCTAATGATCTTCTGGGACAAATTACGCGAGACCCATGAAACGCTCTTTCCACCAGGCGTCAAATCAGTGACTGGCAGGTTGCTCAACGCCAAAGCCAATGCACGCTCAACAATCTCAATGCTGTGACTAAACTGCATGGTATTTTCCTGTACGTCTTGAAACGTGACATGTTCTCATAGTGTTCAGATCTACTGCCTGCTTTCAGCCATCGATTCTCACAGGATGTGATCAATTTGCACAAATTCCTGTCCGTAGCAATTCATGACCGTCACTTTTAACTCTCGAGATTCTATCTTTCGATCCTTGGCAAATCCTTCTGATGTACCTTGCCCCTTGTGTGTGCTTGAGAATCTGCATGTGTATGCTTCCGGTCGATTTTGGGCGTTCATCACACTAGCTGCTTCATTCTACTACCCGTTGGGAACGGTGCAAAAGACGGCAATGTCATTGCGCGTGACGATTGTCAGCACAAATATCGTGTATCTTGCATCGAAATTTTTGCTTCGGACGAGACTTTGTATCGCTACACCAACGTTCCTCAACGTCTTGTGTAGATAGTGCCTTGTGCTCTTCTTATCATCAGTCCCTTTACCTAATGACCATGAACTATGCTCCGTAGCTTTTCTGCGGGTGCAATGCCTGCTTCCTTTGGAAATGTCGTTTCCTTTGCGTTCGTTGACATCATTCTGTGACGATGCATCGAGTGAGAGATGTTGCCAGGAGCTAGCCAGCGCTGGAGTGCCTTGTGGTGTCCGATGCTCGTGAGACTACTGATATAAGCAGTTGATGATCAAGTCATTCAGTTATGAGAGTCATCTTTCGAGCCAGAACTACATTCGGCCCGACATGAGAGTTTCCAATGGCTATCCAGCACGGAAAACATTTTTTTGAGACTTGGGCTATGTCGAAGACATGTCATAGAAAAATCGAGATCTGATAGCACATCATCAGGGATGTGGTCCGAAGTTCAGCTCCCTATGGTATAACCCTGGTCTGGAAACCAGATTATAGAGCTCTGACGTATAGATCCATATCATTCTTCAGTGCTAGCAGTATACAGAGGATACAAGACGCTTCCACAACACATGATGTACTGAGCGGTTTGGAGCATACAATATACAGACTTTGAAATGGGAAAAACTGCACTGCTCATAAACATGCTTTCACTGGGAACACACCTTGATTGATCTTTGCTAACATTCCTGACATATTCCATCAGCTCAGAGGTGCAAAACCTGGTTCATATGGTTTCAGTATCAGACGGCTGTGCCGAGAAGCAGCAGCAGATGAAGTGCGCCTTGAACACCGCATATTGGAGCGACAGGTCCGCTCTAGTAACCATTACCACAAGCTACTGCTTTGCTAACATACTGTAGCTCTCCAAGAGATCTATTCCGGCAGTAGGATGTCAACAATGACACTAGACAAACCGAACAACAAAGCAGTACTAAGCAAGGACTTGGCGTTAGGCCGCGATTGACGAATCGGTAAGAGTGAAATGTATACTAGCACCATCAGACATGCCAATATCATCAAGCACATTCTGACGATAGATAGACGTCGATATGTCTCTATCTCGAATCTGAAACCCTGACCGATGCTTGTTGGAAGGACAGTCGCAAAGTGAGCGAGGTTTCTGAGTTCCAAGCAAATGTATTGTGTACCGACTATCAGACTTGTCGGCAAGTGCTCAATAAGCTCTTTCGAAGCCACGCCAGCCGCAGTAGACGTCAGATCATGTATGTTTTCGATGGCAGAAGAAGCAGCAGAGAATATTGTGTTAATTTGAGAAGCTCCAGACGTGACCAGACTGCTAGCGAGAGACGTAGGTCCTGATACTTTGCTTTGGGGAGCATGTAGCGCACTTTGCTGCATCACTTCAAGATTGTTAGTCTAGAGAGACCGGTTAGCGAACTCTATCTCGGAGTATACACTACATAGCACGTACAGTGGCCGTCAAGAAGCATGACACTTTCAAACTCTCTGATGAGAAAGCATTACCAGACACGCGAGCAAAGCGCAGAGAAAGCCAACGAAAAATGATCGAAGCTTTCGAATAGTCCGTCTTCTGTTCTTTGCCGTTCTTCCAACGGATTTGTGATAGTTGGAGGACTGACTCGCTCTCATCATAGATACATGCAACAGTAGGGGGCAGTTTCCAGAGGATAGGCTGGCATCTTAACGTGCTGGCAAAAACTAATATTACCGCATGCTTATGTTATACAATCCTGAGATCGACTTTATGAATGTTGTCAGTCTTTGTATCACAGCACAAGCTAATCATGAGCCTGGTCAACAAGTTAACAGCAGAAGAAGGTGTGAGCCGCCTAAGGACTATATCATAGCTTAGAAACGTGGGTACTTTACTGTCATGATCACAATACATAAATTAGGCGATAACCTCGGAATCCCGTAATGTGAGCAACGTATGATGGTATTTTGTTGTCCATCTAGCTCATACCAGACTGATCTGCCATCATATATCTACGGACCTTGTATCTTTCCCGAGAAACCGATCACTCGTTCTTATGGCTTGAGCGTGCTAATAGCTTATGTCAAGCACGATCCGCATTCCAAGTATGGTGAATAGGATCTGCTATAGTCGCACAGGTTCGTACTAGGTTCTGTGGCTAGGGAACAAAGGTGACGCCAAAGCACGGGAGAGTTAATGGTATGAGAGTTTACTACTCAGTCTGAATCGAGCGCGCTACAGAATACTTGAACAGCACTTTCTTGAATGCCATGATGAGCCGATATAAAGAGAGTCAAGCTGTTAATAAAGGTTTATGTGCTCTGTCCTACACAAAGACAATGTTACTATCTGATAAGCGCCTCAAGTGATGTCTCAGAATCGTACGAGAGGTTAGTCATAAATCTTTCCTGGCACCGGATAACCCGTCTGATACCTCCATGGGACCCACTATCGGCTTCTTCACTAAGCTGGCACTCACAGCTTCTACTACGGCGACTGCAGTGGCTGGCTACCAAACTCGATGTCCTGGCTAGGATGTTGGCCAAGAAGGCTTGCTAGTACAGCATAGGAAGGCGAGAGATTGCTTGCCTCCCAAAAGTACCACGAGTGAGTCATTCTCTTTTCTATATATGCGCGGCGTTGCGTTAGAGGGTGGGATGATAGATCACAGCTAATCCCCTAGAGATGTAGCCGAACCACTGGCCTTACCTATCACCCGGTCTTTGTGAATCTCTAAAACTTTCCTTGTTCAATCTAAAGTGGATATTTGTCGAACGATGCATATGCCTAGGGAAAGTGTAACGCTTTCAGTTTCAACTCTTAGCAAGAAGGGACCTACGTCGAAAATAATGTCTGGTGGTATTTAAAGTCTGCTTAGAGTGTTCGCGGACTGGCTTGTCAGCTCGAAGCCTATCACGCACTAAGGTAGTCTGAGATTGACTGAGATCTCTGGATTGATGGAAGTATGTTTTCAAATTGATCTAGCTCTTGCTAGAGAGGTAGGATGACAAGGCAGAGTGATAGAGCAACATTCCGGAGTGCACTCTGATACAAGCTCGACTGGATCTCCTCTGTCGTTGGTGTCTTTCGCCTTAAGCTGAACCTGATTAGAAGAATGTTGGACATACTAAGACAGTATTCAGGTATTGTTCGACGTGTCAACGCGAGTGGTTTGAGGCAAGAGCCGGCGTGGGGCACTCGCTTCCTTCGTTGGCGCAAGAAGCGGACAATCAGGCACGGCGTTAAATGGGGGTAGCAGGCGCGTCTCACGTCGGGAGATCGCTGAGCCCACATAGTCACATATGGATACTTTCGTCGAGCATGGGAACCCTGCGATTTTATTTGTCTTCGCGTTCCACACACTTGCAGAGTTGGTATATCTGCTACAGAGTTTCAGAGTTTGTTGTTTACTTTCGGTTGGACGTCATCCGAACCTCGTGTGTCCTACGTGCAATGGAAGGCGCGAGCATGGTTGCCTACCGATACTTGCCTCCTTCGCGACAGTAAATAACAAGTTTTTACAGTTTCCAAAACATCACTGTGCTCTCCGTCGACTCTCTTCTCTTTTGACGCATCGTCCTCACCACTACTGCCTGATTCTTCACTTGAGCTATTCTTGCCGCATGGTAATGTCTCACCTTCCTGGGGTCGTCTCGTCGGAGGTTAATGTCCATCTGACACCTAGAAACCTGACATCATCTCAATCTCGAATGACTAAACGGACACCATCCGACCATACAAACACCACCTGACCAAAAGAAAGTTGTCTAGCTGGACGTATGATCTTGGTACATCAGTCGCGCGCTCACGACATGTCATGCCATTCGGACGATTTCTCACTCTCCTCAATTTCCGGGCCAGATTCAGATGTCAGTGTTTACGATGCGGATCCTAGCTACTATCCCTTGCAACCCGTCTTCGTCCGCGCTCTTGAAAAATGGAAACAACAAAGTGTCTCCTTCGTCAGTCTTCCACCAGAAGTCAGGAACCGAATATATCAACTGGCATGCGAAAACAGACATACAACCAGCGATCGTCCCATACGCTTCGATGCATACCATCGCTGGATGTTTCCCTGCTGGGAGAGAGGAGGTCTGATGTATTACTGCAAGCAGGTGAGACGCGAGTTCATGCCACTTTTCATCGCTTCGATCTTCTTCCCTCTGCACCTTGGATATCATGAGGGAACGACTGGTCTCGAGCTTGTGACCTGGCTGAAGGAAGCCGGTCCTGTTCTAACTTCGCATGTTCGTCGGCTGCAAGTCAACTTTGGCGTGAACTGGTCGGACAATTCTCGCACCGTCTTCGCTCCTTCGTCCTCTAAACTTACCACTCCTGTGTATGATATTGCTGGCCTACTCATTGACGTATCGCAAGAAGGCCACCTCGAGATATCACAGATGTACGACACAAAGTTCGACGAACGAGTCCTTCCCGACATACAGGACAAAGTCGGACGAAGTCTCAAAGTCGGGTCAACCGGCCTGATGGGCTTCGTTGAGTTCAAGATCGTGTATGAAGTGCTGCAGCAGTATCATCCTGGCTTCGTTTATGCCGTTCGGCAAGGTTACTGAGCCTGCGTATGGCTCTGCCTGGGCGGCGGTATTGTGAACAAGAGGTTGCCGTAGACAGGACACCGGTGACGATCGCAAGCTGAGGAATTGTGTCAACGCATGCATTAACGAACATAACGATGAGAACTGCTATACGGACATAGCTCAATTGCAAGACAACCAGAGACATACATCAACAGGTATGATGGGGTCGAAGGGACATGGGACCAAAAGATTTAGGCAGCGGCATTCCGCCCTAGTTCTAGTGCCACTCAAATCTTGATTCTTGTCCCATCTTGTCCCATCTTGTCCCATCTGATCCAGCTCATTCTAAGGAAGTTGGTTCTCAGCGAATCCTCCCGATAGATCCGAATCTTCGAGCTCAAGATACGTCGCATAGAGCCCCAAGCTGGTGATCTCATCAGCTAGCCGCGCTCCCTATCACTTGTACGCTTTTTGTGCATCAAACTTAGTTTTGTGAAACTCCAAAACTCCTCAAGCTGAACGACACGCGCGAAGTACGTGAATCCTCAGCATATTTCGGAGGTGCTAGAAACGGTCTTACGCCCGCTTTCTGACAGCCGCGGACTTCCTTTCTTCGTCTTCTTCATAAGAACGGAATGATTGAGTAAGAACAACCAAGGTCCTAGTCGGATGTAATTTCGTATACGTCATGCCATCTGGCCAGATCAGGTGGTGACTGACATCAGCACAGGTGGCCAGATTCGATCTTTGGCTTGGAAAAACCGCCAGGGTCACCTGCGCAACACATTGATCAACCCTATGCTATCAGAACAGCGACCCACAATGCTGTTTGTAATGCACTGACAGTCAAGAGAGATAATTTCGAGATACTTTGGCAGCCGTGGTGACGGAACAGTCATGTGGACTCGTGCCGTGAGCTATCTTGATTCTAAGTACGAACAGTATTTGTTCGTCAATTGACGACTCGAGACGTGCATGGGAATGTTTCACACAGCCTTGCTAAGGGTCACGACACAGTGGTTATTAGGGTGAATTCGCATCTTCTTTTATATGGCCCACTTGCATTCTGATACTGCCTGCGACAGACTGACATTTGATCCGCTCTGAAACTGTCACAGACATTGCTAGAGATTGCTCCAGGCCTCCTGCTTTCTGATCACTGCGATACCTGACCATGCAATAGTCCAGAGCTGCTAGCAAAGAGAAAGTTTTGTTCCTGGTTACTATTGGCAACTCTAATACTGCTTCTAACTCAATCGTCCTACGTGAATTGTACTAACAGAGAGAACATCGCGCAATCACCAGCCGATCACAACCGAGCATACATTCCAAAGATGACTACGACTTAGCATACACTAGCAAAGCATCTGGGGCCCCTCTGCACCACTTGAGAACTTCTAGTGAACGCGCTAATATTGACTTCACCCTTCCACGACGAGATACTTAGCCGCTGCGGTTTGCACCTATCGACGGTCCTGAATGATGTTGATTGAAGCGAAGATACCCATACACAGGCGATCGAGAGGATTTGGCTCCGTGATGGGAGAAGGATAACAAGATCGACATCACAAAACATTGATAAGCAGCGTGGTGAAGACACTGATGTCCCTTCGCTCACTACAGTCTTCAGTTGTCCGAGCTTGGTCCAGGCAGCAATCTTCTTGGCGCGGATCGCAGCCTTGGTAGGTCCCGCTTCAGCTCAGACCGATACAGATCACTTTGTGATTGGCTCACGGGTGATTGAGAGAGATGCGGGGTCGGAAATCCGGACGGGTCAAACACAAACGACCTGAGGTTTGACCTCAGTTTGAAATTTATGTCATACTCTCTTGACTTACAAGATGACAGGCTAGCTCTTCGAACATCGCGACCGTTGGAGGTGCGATGGATCTCTTGACATTCTATGCTTCTTCCGATCTGCAATATAACGATATCTACCACACACAGCAGGTAGGTACGGCGCATGGTGCGTCATTAAGTGCTCATGCGCGCCGCTTATCCTTGTCACTGCATGCATCTCACATCTCAAGCGCAGCCTCATTCGATGCACCAGTGGCTGTGCTGGCGGCCTTACAAGAATCGGGCTGAAGATGCTGAGTCCAGTCCTCGATGCGTTGGTGGATCTTCGCCCTTCCAACAGAATCAACCATCGCTTCTCACTCCCACAACCACCAGTCACGCAGGACTTCTTTCCTCTTTCAGCTGCCTCAGGTTTCTCACAGCCTCAAGGTGAACAGCGTCACCTTACCTCGTAATGCGTATGGCATCGGCATCATTTGCGCTCTTGTGGAGGAGAAAGCGGCCATGGAGGTCATGCTCGACGAGGAGCACGAACAGCTACAGCAGAAGTCTGGCGATCACAACAGCTATACCTTTGGTAGGATTGGCAAGCACAACGTGGTCATCGCTTGCCCTCCTGGCGGTCATCAAGGCAAGGCGGCTGCCGCAACAGTCGCTGCACACATGATGTATAGCTTCCCCATCAAGCTCGGTCTGATGGTCGGAATCGGTGGAGGTGTACCCAGCCAGGTCCCCACCATCCGACTCGGTGACGTGATCGTGAGCATGCCAGAAGGTATGCATGGGGGAGTGGTGCAGTATGATCTGGGAAAGCTGGAGTCCGATGGTTTTCGTCGCAAGGGGCATTTGGACAAGCCTCCGAAAGCTCTCCTAGGCGCAGTGACGTCACTTTGAGCAAAACATGAGCGGAAGGACCCCGACTTCCCTCGATACTTGACTGCGATAGCGAATAACCGCAGGATGGCGACAAAATACGGCTTCCAAGGGACACAGCATGACCGGTTATTTGGTCCGGAAGAGATCCATCCTAAAGACCGTCAAACCTGCGACCACTGCGTGTCAAGTCTCCGGATAATCCAGCGTACCGACCGCGACGACAACACACCTCAAGTCTTCTATGGCACTATCTTGTCAGGGGACCTGGTGATGAAGAATGGAGAAGAAAGAGACAGAAGAGCAGCAGAGGATAGGGCCGTGTGTTTCGAGATGGAGGCGGCAGGCTTGATGAACGACTTTCCTTGCTTGGTGGTCAGAGGCATCTCGGACTATTCGGACTCGCACAAAAACGACAGATGGCAGCCGTATGCGGCGGCGACGGCGGCAGCATACGCGAAAGAGCTTTTAGGTGCTTTGAGTGTGCAGGAAGTCGAGAAGCTCGGGCCTGCGAGTATGCCCAATACCTCCTAACGATCCTTCACCTGCACACCAGGTGCTGTCCGCTAACGCTAACGTCGTATGTTTCAGACAAGCATATAGTCCCTTTCAGCTTGAAGGGTGTACCCGCCATCGATCACTTTGTGCAACGAGTCAGTGATATGCAAGAACTGGAGGAACATTTCTTCCCTCAGCAACCTCATCTCGCTCGTCGCAAGATGTTTGTCGTTCATGGCCTTGGTGGCATTGGCAAGACGCAGCTTTGCATCGAATTTGTCCGGCGATACCAGGAAAAGTATAGTGCAGTGTTGTGGCTCGATGGATCGTCAGAAGATGCTCTGCAACGATCGTTTATCGAAGTCGTTGCAAGGCTTCCTGCTGGCGAGATACCGCTCGCTCTGATTCAAGCTGCGGAACAAGCAAGTCCCGACCAGCTTTCGATAGTACGAGGTGTAATGGACTGGCTATCCCTGCCGTCTAACCGGCAATGGCTTCTTGTCATCGACAACGTTGACCGTGACCACACGACCAAAGAAAAAGATCCCCTGGCTTATGATGTCAAACAGTATTTCCCCACAGCAGACCATGGTAACATCCTTATCACAAGCAGGCTATCGACGCTAACGGCGCCCCGAAGTAGCCTGCGCCTTACCAGGGTTGATCGTGAACAAGGTCGAGCCATTCTAGAAGCTACGGGGGGAGAAATAATATCAGGTACGATGAAAACCTATTGGTATCAAATGAGTCGAGCAGCCAAGCTCAAGTTGACATGTAATCATAGCGCAAGACAAGAGCAGCGTAGACGCACTCTTGGAGAAGCTAGGAGGCCTTCCTCTCGCTCTGACACAAGCCGGAGCTTATATCAGCCAGACAGCTGTGAGAATCACTCAGTATCTTGAGTATTATGACAGCACGTGGAAAGATCTGATGGAACGGCAAGACGAGTATCCGCTGCAAGAATATGCACAACGAAGTGTGCTGACGACCTGGAAAATATCTTACGAGCAGGTGAAGAACCAGAGCGAGGCAGCCAGTAACCTGTTGCAACTCTGGAGTTTCCTCTATGCTGGCGATCTCTGGTATGAGCTTGTTACTTGTACTGAGAGGCTTGACTCAAAGACTATTGTGCCGAACTGGTTAACAGTGCTGGCACAGGACAAGCTAGACTTTGACCGCGCTCTGGCGCTGCTCATCAAGTACTCGCTAGTGGAGGGCAGAGCAGAGACAGCTAGCTACGCCATGCATTCCGTTCTACACTCTTGGTGCCGTTATTCGGCGAGGAACGAGGCGGAGAGAAACTCATGCCAGAAGTTGGCGATGGACATTGTCGGGTAAATGGTGCCCTCAGAGAGCGTGGAGGAGTACTGGGTTCTTCAGAGAAGACTACTCCCGCACGGTCAGACAATTCTTACCAACATGAACTGAAACACGAAAGCGGGAATAGATGTCAATGACACGGTGGCATATGAGAAGCTAGCTGGCATGTTCGCAGATCAAATCCGATATACAGAAGCAGAAGAAATCTACAGGCGAGCGCTAGCCATGAAGGAAAAGATATACGGATCCAAACACACGTCTACACTCGGTACAGTTCACGAACTAGGCAGTGTCTATCGCGAACAAGGCAGGCTCGCAGAAGCAGAAGAGATGTGCGAGCGCGCACTAGCCGGGAAGGAGAAGGCACTCGGGTCCGAGCACGCGTCTACGCTGAACACAGTCAACAACCTAGGCAGTGTTTACCGCGACCAAGGCAGGCTCGCAGAAGCAGAAGAGATGTATGAGCGAGCACTCGCCGGGTATGAGAAGGCACTCGGGTCCGAGCACAAGTCTACGCTGAACACAGTCAACAACCTAGGTAATCTTTACACTGACCAAGGCAGGCTCGCAGAAGCAGAGGCGATGTACGAGCGAGCACTAGCAGGGCATGAGAAGGCGCTTGGGCCCGAGCACACATCTACACTCATCACAGTCCACAACCTAGGCATTCTACATCGCGCTCAAGGTAGACTTGCACATCGCCACCAATGTGTCTGCCAGTAAGTGCTGCAGTAGAGGAATTCTTAGCATCTGTATTTACAGTCTTGTCTTCTTTACGACTTGTCCTAAACACTGCTTCTTCACTACCCTCGCTGCTATGTCTTGAGTGCGATCTAGTGAAAGCTGAAAATTCCTGGTTTGAGTCTAGAGACGACACTTCACGACTTCATGCGGGCAGAAGGCTGAACGGCCGGGTATGCGATGGTACGTCCACAAGAGATAAGCTGTTGAAGCCCATCTGTTGGACAGCATCACACAATCGGTCGGCCCGGCCACGGATATCTTTTTAGCTTCAACCCTTGACCAGAGCGTGCTTTGCAAACCATGATCGATCTTGGGCCTCCGACCATTCGTAGAGCAGTTGCAGTACCGACACAAAGACGCCAAGTCTTGTGCTTGCCTTGGCAAACTCGATCTTCGTCCAGATGTCCTGAGGCAAACGTCATTGTAAGGTCGGCTTTTGAGAATCGTACGGACTTACTGTCGTGCCGGCAGCACTGCGTGACGCAAAGAGAAAGTACCATTGCGGACCTTGAGCGATGAGTAAGGGAAGCCAAGGGAGATCGGTCGTTTCGGCCTTGCTCTCATCGAGCAAGTCGCGCAAGCGAGTGAAATGAGCTGCGGCCCACACAGCGAGCTGGACCTCAGCTTCCCGAAGGCTCTCACTCTCCGGTTTGGTCTTAATGCTGACCACGATAGGTTTGTTAGTCAATGGCCCATATCTTGTGTGGTTGAAGGATTGCACACCACCATCGATGTATCTGCCAGTGAGTGGCAGAGCGGAGGTAAGTCTATCGTCCGGACGGAGGACGATGGCGAAGTCGACCATTTTGCTGCGAATAGGTTGACTGTCTTAACTTACCGGGTTTAGCAAGCTTGGACTTATGGTAGCGTGAACACTACGACCCATTAGTACTGGATGACAGATGTAGAGGCAAGAATACAAACATGGTTTTAATGGTCACAAATTGGCCATATGGCGAGGAGCTCTCGGCGAGCATGCAGAGGGGTCCATGGACAAAACAGTTCTAAGCAGCTTCGGAGTCCGCGTCTTCACTTAGCTCGCACGCTTTGTCGGCGAGTCGATCGACGTCGGCCAGCATTAGGGCATCACCTAGACGCGAACGGTCGTCGTTGTGGTCATGATGAAGGTCTTCCCGCCGGAATCTCCGCTCCGAGTAACGCGACAAGTTCTCCCATAGGAACACGGGTCGCGTCAATAGAGCGGGATACAAAGCAACTTTGTGCGTAGCGAACGAACCTTAAACTCGCCCGGGACCGTTTTCGTACCTTCTGCATAGTTAAGCACTTTCTCTACGAGCTTCATGAACCCCAGCGGAGCATCGTCGCGCACAAAGGAGGATTCCTTGAAGGTGTGTAGGTGGATTGATTAGGGCAACGCGCGGAGTATCGCACGCTTAGATGGACTGGTTGCGCCGGATCGTGACCTCTTTAAGCCACGAGACGTGACCGAGGCTTGTGAAGAAGTCGTGCTAGACAATCCCGAGTCGAAGGACTGCTAGACAAGAGGCCGGGTTGTTGCAGCTTAAGGTGTTGCGTCGCTATCGCGGCCTCTGACACCTTCGCCCATCGACCCTGTCTTGCTAGGCCGCTTAGGCTGTGGTTCTGGTGTTAGGTACGATCGCAGCCAAGTTTCGTCAGGTGCGCATCGCTTAGCGCTTGCACTCGGTGGGCTAGGGTCTGCTGCTATCCTCGGCGAGTCATAATTCTCATATTTCGAGGCTGTTGTCTCGGTCCTTTTTTCGATCGTCGAATCGTCGTACATAGCCAGGCTCTACGAAGAAGGGTGTGGCTTGTGTTGTTGTTAGCTGGAATGACGCAATCTCGGAAGCTGCCGTTACGGCCCGTCCCCATCTTGCCGAGCTTCACTTTGGTTCGTCCTTCTCTGTACGCACGTCTACTGACTGGCTGGATAGCTGCACAGTTCGGGATGTTGGAAACACTCGACTTGCGCATGGTACCTTCACTTATGTCGAACAACTGGTCCAGGCCATGCAGACCGGGCGCGCTTGTTCTACAGTTGCTTGTTCGCGACGGAACCACAGGGTCCGAATCTGCTCAGCGTCTCCGATCCAGGACCTCGATTTGTGACAAAGTGGTGGTGAGATAATGACTGCATCATCTTACTAACGGCTCTGTACAAGTGGGTCCATTCGGGCCTGCGTATGTATATCCAGACCTAACATCCATACCTGGAGACTACTTTACGCTGCCAAAGATATAACGAGACAGCATAGGCCCTCTCTGCAAACCTGTTGCGATGCTTCTGCAGTCTTGCTAAACTGTACATTGTCTTCTGCGCATGACGTGTCATCCTTTTCTGTAGTTCCTGCGTTCAGTACCTCTTCTTAGAAAGTAACGAACGACCTTCCTTATGGAAGTTCTAAGCTCACAATTATGAGGCCGACAGGGAAAGATGAGAAAGAGATACTTGTCACACGGATATCGTTGCCGTTCTCGATCTATGCACACAGCCCTACTCTCACCGATCCATGACGCCTGCTCGCCCGTGCACCTTTTAGCAGTCTCGTTACTCTACACGAGTCAAACACGGAGAGTATTTCTTCTTTCCAGCACTTGTGATACAGTCGTGGGATACGCAGTTTGCCGAGATGATATCCCTAATTTGCGCCAAGGCTTAGGAAGTCCACAGTCATCTTTGATTAAGAAGCGTATGGGTAAGCAAAAAGTACTGTATCTCATGGCTCGAAAGCATCGATGCTGACCAGGTGTTTGATGGCTATGCGACATGTCCAAAGGTTCACATTAGGTAAAGCCAATGCACAATCTTGCAAGATTCTCATCTGGATCCTTTCACTAACAAGTGTAGAGCTTATTGGTAACTTGAACATCATTCTACTCAGCAATCTCGAATCTTGGAAACGCTGGATTTTCGTACCGAAAACTCTGCTCGAAAAGGACAAGAATCACTCGTGTTAAGAGACGCCTTTTCTTGAGTTAGTCATGTCAAATACGTTCCCTGCGAACGAGCACGGTCAAGGTTAACCTGATGTTCTGTAATCAGAACTCATCAATGATCGAAAGGTGAAAGACAAATTACAGCTCCGCGTTGGCTAAAAATAGCCTGACTCGAAACTCGAGGATTGTCGTCCTGCAGTTTCGGTTCTGTTTGAATTCGTTCCTTACGAATATCTGCGCCCGATGATACGTTCGAGCAATCAGAGACGTGCTTGCGTAATCTGCAGATGCTCAAGTTTTGCCAGAAATGGCGCAAGATATAGCATCTTCCAGTCTGTAAGCACGGCCAGTCATTGCTTTTATACTTGCTGGGCTCAACTGTCACACCTTAATTACGTGTACCGAACCTCGTTTGTACCAGCTAATGGCATAGCAGATATCGATCTCGGCACCATGCATAACACGGAGGCATGGATGAACGCAGGTACAAGATACGATATGTGTAGGTCCTGTAAATCGATAAGGGTTGGAATCTCGTCAACCCAACCGGTCGGCATGATTGGCGGGTCGCAGATTACGGTCAAGACAGAGAAACACATATGGAGCCGCCTGAGCTCTAGCACGCGAAGCCACCATGCAAGGATGATGGACGGAAAGAGCCGCCGAAAACGGGACATCAAGGCTTTTCAGTTCATCGGTCGTACATGTCCACTCACTTGACACACAACCGTTCATCGGTCGTTCTTGCCCACTCACTCGACAAACAATTGTTCATCGATCTAGGTCTTCAACCGTGCGCCTATACATGATGGCACAACGCCCTCTGGGCGAGTCACCCAAGGGATCGTGCTCAAAAAGCCCAACACCGGAGCTGAACGAGTCGACATCGCCTATCAGACTGCTGCACAGGAAGAGAGAGTCAATGCAAAGATTTTTCTCGAATGACTGATCGCTGAATAGATACAGATCTCACCTGTCCCCGCCGACTGTCAGTAGCCTGCCTCCAGGACAGCCTGGTCCAACGGATCAGACAGGCACGCTGAAGAGAAAACGGACTGATGAAGAAAGTGCGGACACCACAAAGAGGGGTGGACCAGTGCTTGAGCTATCCAACCTCGGCACATCTAAGCTCAGCAGGAACGATGATTCGACTAGCGAGACAGCCAAGCTTGACAAAAGTTCTGATATGTTTATCAAATGTAGATGGTTAGGAGAGAACTCGATGTACCTCTTTTCTATCAGTCTGAACGTCAACATGGATGAAACTAGTCTCTGGAACAAGATTCGGGACAAACTGCACTGCTCGCTCAATCATGCTGCCGGAGTGGAGGTTTTGGACACTATCAAATTGCGTGGTGGAGCCCGGTGGACGATTTCATCTGCGCCAAAGATTGAAAGCTCTTAGCAAGCGTGTCGAGATGCTCTGTTGGAAGGAAGAAACCAGGGAGATCGATGCGAAAGTGTAAGTGCTTGGACAGGGCGCCAGAGATGACTGAAGAGGGGGAAGGTTTCCAGGTCGCGTGCCCTTATGAAGGAGGAGATGCTGCACGTCAGGACGAAGAAGACGGAGAAGCTGAAGCAGTACGCAAGGAAAATACATAGATATGTAGAGTAGAGATGATCATGGAAGAGCTTACTAACAATTGCTGCCCTCTGGCGGTCGTAGTGCTGAAGAATAACGCGAAGCTCAACCTTAAAGAGGTCACGCTGTTTGGTCCGCCGATTCTGTCGAATAAGAGTCAACAGACTGATCGCAACTTCGATTCGAATCGGACATGACCCAACCCATAAGAGCAATCCTGTGACATTTCATGGAACCTCCGCTATAGCTGGTTATGAGGATGTTGGCATTGCTTCCCTTCAGAATTTGTCACTTTTTGACTGTCAGGGGGAGCTTGAACCGTCTGGCACACACTCGAGTACTTGACCAAGCACGTACCAGGCTTAGGATCTGTCAAGATGATGGAGGTGTACAATAAAGCTTGGGATTATGGGTATACAACGCGGCGGTTTGCCGCTCATGTTAGGATATGGTTGTCAGAGATAGAACATGGAGCTCGACGAGCCAAAAGATTACCCTATAATTCAATGACTCAAGCAGCACCTGCTGAGAAGTGGATGTTGATCAGATATATCTAGGGCGAAGGAGAAGGAGGATGTGATTCGAGACAGTCTGGTAGATAGGAAAGAGTCTCTAAACGAATGTGACTTGCCTCGAAACTGGCTAAAAATCTGTACTAAGATCTTCAAACTGTGCGCGGAGGAGATTCGGATTATTCCTATCCTGCTCTCTACATATGATCGTCGAGAGGTGTTCAAGAATATCTGTTTCGTGTTTTCGCGCCGTGACTAAGAAAAGTGTTGGTTTCTCATCCATCACTGCCTTGCACTTGAATTCGCATGTCTGCATGGCCATTTGGAAGAGGTAATCATACACGTGTCCGCGCTTGATCGTGTACAAAGCCTCCCATTGTCCGGAATCGCTGAGAGTCTTTCTATGCCTGATCTCGGCCTCATACAGATAGTCGTCAGAGTTTGTCATAAAGCTTGGACGTGGACAATGGTGCCTTATATCTATCAGACCTGTGAACAAGCTGCTATCCTTGAGCAGGGCGTCCATCAAGGATACGCGTGCGGGGTCCTTCAAGGGAATCATGAAGCAGCAAGACCCCATGGTTCTCTGTTCGCAAATCCAGCCGTTTGAATCTGTCTCACGTCGTTCTCTGGGCGCGTCATAAGAGGCCACATACACCTTATCTAACAGCGAGATCAGATGTTCGTTGCGCTTGTGCTGTGGGTTGTATCTGCTGCCTATGTGGCTTGTGACCTTTTCACCCATGTAGAAGTTTTTGTTTTGCTCAAGAACTTGAGACCAGCTTTTACACTCGTTCTAAGACAATTTGTCTAGTTCCGGATGCAGAAGCTCGGAGCTCCGTTGCGCGTCGAAATCACTGGATTCGTTCTCGGACTCGATGTCGGAGACGGAGCTGGTTCGGTGACAAGATACGGGATCAGCTGAGTGTTCAGCCTTGCTATCCATGTCTTGAACGTTGGAGTCTGGTCCAACAAACACAAGGGGGATGCTTATCGTTATATAGGATAGACTACCACGTTTGAGAGACATTTGGCGCGTGGAATATGCTCAAATCTGATGAGATCATCCCTGCCTCACGCATGCGCAAGTTTGATATTCGACAAGTCATGATTCTGTTCGCCCCATTTCTCTTGCCTTGGCGTTTGCTCTCTCACGATATCTCACCGCCTGGAACCCATGTTCAGGAGAAAACAGATGGTTAATAACTGACAATCAGGTTTACAGACGATCGCATACTCTTAGAAACATATCAGTCTAATCGAAAGGGTCATCTACTCTATCTTACCTACAGCGTAAGTAGAACGGCTGACGAGAATGAAATTGGCTGGACTTGTGGAACGTTTCGTGATCAATGTGTGATGCAAGCACTTTAATGTGACGTGAATCATGTGCCATGAGATCTAAGATAGCTGCCAAGGATTCTTGGCATTCTGCTGGGAGAGCATGATGAGCATCTCAGAACGCAACAGTCGTGACACTACAATTCTGGACCTTGTGCATTTCGTAAAAATCTACGCCAGCAGCGAGACCTTGGTCTTTGATCTCGAGTAAGTCATGTCATTCGAATCAGTCTTTATAAATGAGATGTATTGTGAATAACTTGTTGCTAAGAGTCGCCACTATCATGTTAGATCTCAAAATCAAGCCGCTCACCTCAGACTTGGTCATTGAGCCAAGAAAATCAGAAAAAGTCGTTAATGGTGATAGAATCTTCACGTCAAGAAAGCCTGGTGGCTCAGAGTAGCTGATATAGACCAAAGATGTTACGTTATGTGGATCGAACCCATAGTATATTGCTCAGTTTCTCCATGCGGTGGTTTCATATAAAAGTATATATATAAGTATCGAACTGCCATCTCCTTCGACAGGAGTCATCTGCGTGCTGATCCGGTAGAAATTACAACATGAGTTCAGATCCAGAAATTCTCAAATCCGACATGAAGACGGAACATATAGGCCAGGCAATGGAAAAGCAAGCCGCTGGCTCCGACCAAGACACGATTGCACCAGGAGAGGAGAATCCAAGTAGTAGTACTAACAGTCCAAGTCTTTCTGGCGGAGATAGAGATGAGCATGGATCAGATGCCAGTGTAGCTTCATCGTTGTCCAAGAGTGGCGCTTCAAGTCCCTTGACTCAAGAATCTCAGAAGTCATGGTCAAGAATACAACCTAGCAGCGATGTCAGGATCGAGGACATCCAACCGCCCAACAGACACGAGCCTGCAGTGAGAGAACGCTCGCGGGAAGCTGAGATCAACATGCTGCAAACCTCGAAGACTAGACCTGATAACTTGGTCGAGCCTCATAAGCCTGAAGGTGACTCACAGTTCCGGGATACTTCTTCCATATATGCCCACAGCAGTTACAATGGTAACATGCATGAGCGAACCGCTACAACAAAAAGGCTGTTGAAGGGAATTACTAGAAAAGATGAACCCACTGAACAAGGAGTGAGTTCTGACATCGTGGATAAGGAGCTCGAGGCCCGAACCAAGAAGAAACCTTACTAAGAATAAATGATAAGGCAGAAGTTCAAGGCGAGACCTTTCCCACAATCGACGAGCCTCACATCAGACCGACAGCAAAGTGCGATTACGACTGTAAGCGCTTGAAACCTCATATAGAAGATATGACACTTCGACTTGAAGGTATATCTGGATCGGTAAGCCATGACCTGCGAAGTGATCGTCAATAAGCTGACTTCTGCGGCAAACCAGATTGCGAAACTCCAAAGAATGGCCATTGCACAGCACGAAATCATAAGCAGAATGGACAACTCCATGACAGAGATGGTTGGGAACTCACTTATTCAGATTGAGGACAAGCCAGTCTCCACCCTTTCTAGCTTAACCCAAAAGGCGAAATCCAACAGACACACGTTCAGTGGGAATGGTTCTAGCCACCGAAATGAGCAGGCAAGAGCTGAAGGATCTTCGAACCGTGTTTCGTCCTCTGGATCTGTTGACTACCAGGAAGGCAGCAGACCATGCGCACTTTCACCACCTGCAGAGGATCATGTTCTCATACCCTCTGATGAGCGTGATAAAATCGAGCCAACGACCGGAGCGCCTAGAGATATCGTGGAAGGTAACATTGCAAAACGGAGAGTCTGGGGACGTGAAGGCAATCGGTTCGACATGGAGACACCCAGTTCTTCCTCTTCGATTGGTGAAACGAGCATCATAACTTGCAACTCACGAGTCCCGATCAGTATGAGATCCTTGGCCAAGAACATACAGCCCACGACTTCGCGATTCATAAACATTTCCGATCCATTTCTAAGTCATAAAGAAGCAGTAAGTAATGGCTTGACGAGCCACGACGCATCCCTCGTCCGCACAGAGAGGCGTCTCGTCCAAGCCCAAGAAGTCAGTTCAAAGCTTACGACAACATCCTGGCCTGAGCCACACCAGTCACGGGAGAACGATTCTTCACAGGAACGAGACAGACTGCAAAGACAAGCTCAACGAACAGAAATCAGACTTCTAGGAAAGAAAGATCCTGGGTGCGATCGAAAGAGGAAGTCTGAAGCAGATGGAGAGGGTACTGGTGAGCACCAAAAGCCCATTGCTACCTTGTTACGCCTTGCAGAAGGGGGCAAGAGCGTGCTGGCAGGGTCAGTTGATGCTCACCTGCTTCGCCTCTTGATAGCGAAACGTCACTTCTCCATGGTGGCGCTCTCGGCTGTCTTGGGTATGTTGCTGGTCATGCATACCATGGGTATAGCTCCAGGATACCTGATTCCCTTGATAGGTTTGATGAGCGTCCTTCTATCTCAGAGACATTAAGCAGCGTTTGTATCACTGAATCCATTCCACTTGGCAGACATGCTGCTTTTATCTGTCTATGCTCAATTTCAGGACATCTATGATCTGTCGTTGGTGGCATCTGGAGAGCTTAGAGCTTATCGGGAAATCTGGAAACCATCTAGGTAGAGTGAACAAATTTCGAGTCTCAAAGGTTGGCAGCTTATATGATGGTCATCTATCCGTCAAAGATGGTTCCTGTCATTCAAGAACGCTCAATAGGTGCAGTGGCAATGTTCGTACCACATCCAGTCTTCTTTGTCGAATGTACTGTCGCTGGTAGATCGGTCAAGTAGGTCCCGGGTTCTACCCCTGAAGTCTTGTTGAAACTGTCACAGGAGAAGCAAATCATTGTTTGCGTAAGCGTATGTTCGCGGAAGAATCTTTTGTTTGCCATTATACCCACAACGAACGCAGATATCTTGAAACCTATCGATAGACGTCAAAACAGGAAACCGTCACTGTTTTCGCCTACTGTGATTACGTCTTCTGTACAATCCTCATACTAGGACAAATGGCCAACAGTACCAGTATCTGCTTATCTCAGGATGCACCAAGCGTGACTGATACTCTGTATACCATTTTCTCATGGTTTCCATGATAAGAATCCATCGATTCTATTCTCAGCCACTGCTAGTGTCTCACTGCTCGAGTGAAAAGAGCGTACCTCAGATGCAGTGCTTTCTATGATCTGCTATGCAGCGACTACTTTATCAGCGGAAGTCAAAGTATCAGAAATATCATAACACACGGTGTCGATGAATTTATCTCTTCTTTGTATTGAGCTTGTGCCAGGCGTATCTGCGCTTTATGTGGAGATTGAGCCTCGTATCTTGGGGCCCAAGATGACTTCAACATGACAATTGGATCTAATGTTGTCAAGGATCGACTTTCCACGTACAAATTTATATCTCAGGCAGGCGGCTTTGAATTCAATATCATGTCACTGCATCAGGACCAGAACTCGCCACAGTGCTGACGCGAACGATGGGGACACATATATGCTAAGCCGCTGCATACATCAAAAGAAGCAGACCGTACTCAGACTGTGTGCGGAGCGACGCAATGGATGCTGCCTCAGAAGTCTTCCAATCCGACATGACAGTAGAAAACCTGGACCAAACGACAGCAGAGCAAATGGGCGATCCTTCCAACGGTCTTGGTCAAGATATCAGCGGGTCAAGTGTTCAAAGCTCGAGAAGCCGTGCTAAAAGTCCGAGTCGTCCCGGGGTTGACGAAGGAGGTCGTCGATCAAATGGGAGTAGAGAAGCCTCGTTTTCGAGTAGTCACATAGCACATTCCTCGCCTGGAAAACCTCACACAAACATGTTCGAAAAAGCAAAAGCCTGCCTCAGATCTATCGAGAACAACGGCAGTAAGGTTCAACGAAAGGTGAGTATTGCGTGAACGCTCCGATCTCATGTCACTAGAAGGAGCTCTACTAATAATGTATGATAAGGCGGAAGTACAAGTAGAAGCTCGACAACCTATCGTCAACAATACTCAGAATCAGTCTGTAGAGAGATGTAGCATCGATGACGACCAAGTCAGACAACTGAATACCAAATTAGACAAGATTTCGACATCGGTGAGTCACGATGATGGTGTCAGGAAGGATTGTTAGTTGCTAATACCTCGCGTCGAAGGCCATCACATCCAAAGACATAGAGAATTCGGAAGACGAAATCTACGACAGCACGGAAGACTGGAGAGAGGGCATGTCTGAAAAATTACACAACATGGACTACACGATATACGGCATTAAAGAGAAGACAGACATGACGCTCCACACGATGGAGTTAGTTGAGCCGGCAGTCAGCGCTATATTCAAACTTCTGGATCGTCTGACTGCACTCTTTCTAGGCGCAGCAGAGTGCCCTGAAGATAGAATTCCAACCTCGGAAAAACACCTGCGATTGACAGCCGAAGCAAGGGTTGATGGCTTGTCCGACTTGGGTGGTGAGATAACCTACCATGGTAGTACGAGAACATCCCCAAGTCCCCCGAAAAGGAGCCAAATTTCGGCTGTTCGACGCCGACTCCTAAATCCGAAGCATCGAGTCTTGATGGTGAACACGCCGATCATTCTCGTTGCATTGTTGCTTTTGCATCCCAAAGACGCGATACCGGGATGTCTGATGTATCTGACGACTGGCCTGATCTGGTTCTTTCTACTTCCAACTGTTTGAGAAGTACTTGAATTACTCACTCTTGTATCCGGTGCTACTTTCCATCTGTATCTATCGCTTAACATTTCGAATATGCTGCTGATCGCATCTCCGGATGTTGGGGTTTGGAGGGAGATTTGGGATCCGTGAATACAATTATATCAACAGTAGAAGTTCAAATCTTGGGCGATCGTGGTTAAAGTAAGACAGTCGTGAGATCCAGTCTCCACCCTGTTTCCTCCGTCAAATCTACTGCTGTCAAGATATCTGTTGAGTAGAGACTAGACCCTGGCTCTAGAATTTTGTTGCGGTTGTTCCAGAAAGTGCAGGTCCTTATTTGAGGAAGCGCATATGTGCTTGAGCGTCTACAAATCTTCCATATCGAACAGGTTAGATACTCATCGATTGGATCGTCTTGTGCTAGGAATAGGATCACATATGTTCCTAAGAGCTCGAGGATGAGTATTCCTTCTCTGCAACCCAACACAGTGAAGTTGATGTTTCCACATCGACATGGCTGCCTGATTGACATACAAAATATAATCTGCATGTTTCAAGTCGTACCGTAGGGCATGTGGCGATGGAATTTTAGCTACGAAAACCACGGATCGACATCGCAAATAATCCTGTCTGCTAAGTTGTCGAGAGTCCACTGTGGTCTGCCCCTTGATCAAGTCTCTGCGCGAGGTATTACGTGACTTTCGACTCTCTACAATCGATGCCCCGACGCAAGAGAGGTGGTTGAACCTCCTGGTCAGAATGCACGTCCAAGATTCTCCGCATGATCAGCACAGAAAGTCGCACAGCAAGACCGCATCTTGAGAGATTGGATACCGTCAGGACTTCCACAGTTTTCCAATCATGATCGCGTTATTGTTTGTAAATGTGACTTACTGAGCTCTGATAAGTATGTGCCAGGCATTAGACGATACCAGTGTCTCTTCAAGCACTAAGCTTACGTGTGAGCAGATCTCACGTCGGATGTCGAAAGAATAAGTAGACCCTGACTCTGACGCACAGAGTCTGTAGACGCAGACATGTCGGTGAGACTGTTGAATCTTCCATCTGAGCTTCTGATCGACATAGCGGAACTTCTGCCTCCGATTCAGCGGTCTCGGACCTTGCCATCTCTGTGTAGAGCGATGTATGAGGTGGAGCTCATGTCATGGAGTTGCCAGACTTCGAAGACTTGTACGGTCATAGGTCGTCGGGCGAAAGAGGCATGTGTAGAAAGATTTTCATCGCTGCAGGAGGCCGTTCGTCAGGCCATCATTCGAAATTCAGACTCGATCGTGGTTAGGAACATCTACGTCAGTAGTGTCTTTAGCATCATGGCTCATACAATCCTTGCAAAAGCCATCGGCCTAGCAGGTGGCGAGCATAGGAAAATGCAACATCTGCTGCAAGCGCTGACATCGCTGTCTGACCAGGCAATCGGTGTGATTCCTTCAGAGCGTGGCATCGGCAGCATCATCGCTCGGAAGCGCATCTTGCCTCGCACTGCTCTAGAGCATGGTTGGAGGGGCCATCACGAGGTGGATAGACTCAGGATCATGAAGATATTTGTCGAAAAAATCATCGCATGTGATGTCAATCACCCGCCCCACAGACGCTTTGAGTTGAGTACCTACCAAGAGAGACACCCTCAACTGCCAGGCCGGGTCGGCGGTGTTAGTGAAGAAGTCCGCCACGTCTGAGCTGCTAAGAGCGAGATTCTCGGCAAGGGCCGAAGTGAGCCGGGCGCCGCTTCCTGCTTGATCTTGGGGCAATAATAAACAACTAGCTGATTACAATGGTCCGTGCACGCTTCTGCCTCTGCGAGTCTGCAATCCATCGAGCTGCCATCTCAAACAGTGTGACAAAAGTCGCTCCGGACCGCATCTTTCTAGACCGAAGCGATCCAGGCTGTTGGAGTTCCTAAGCTGTACATGCTCGACGCCAGCCATGCGAATAGCTGCCAAACCAATGCTTGTGCTCCGCCGCACTCCATACGGTCGCCGATGCGCGTGTCCATCCACTGTCGCTCACGTTGCGCGTGGAGCCCATGTCTCCAACCCCGATCCCCTCGTTCGTCTATTCCTCGAGCACCGTCGGGTCGCTGTAAGCCGTCGTACGAAGCCCGGGACCTCTAGTCATGGTACTGTGCCTACCGACCAGTTCCTCATTGGCTGACGGGCCACGGGCGACGGGACCGAGAAAGAGCGGGAGATACACGACTCGATGATGGTGACGGATCGCCGAGTCTCGAGTTGAAAAGGTATTGGTCTTTACCGTGCTGGCACATGAAGGGAGCAAAAGCGTACGAGCAAGACCAGTCTCGACGATATTTTAATGATGGACTTGAACACGCTGCCCATCCTGGTCACATCGCCATGCTCGCGTCGCAAATGAAGCTTACGTCTCGAGCACACAAAGGCATACCCATCTCGGTGTCTCTGGCCTGACGGTCAAAGAACAAGATCGCTGTCTTTATGGGAGAGCATAACCAAGGTCAAGAAGAGTTGTGTTAAACTACACTGGCTTGCCGCGGTCCGCCACGGTGTGTCCAGCAAGACCTTGCTGATCTGGCCTCAGCTCTAGCCTTGGTTCTCCTTGACCACCCATATCACCTTAGGACTGATCTAGGAGCAGCTCAGCCCGCGGGGCCGTTGCCGAAATCTTGAGCTTGCAGAATCTCTCACCCGCCGCGGTCAGGAGATGGAGAACAGTTGCAAAACGACCCAACGGGATGTCGCAGATCGCTCTTTCGATCGTCTCCAATCGTCTACAGTATTGTCAATTCTTGACTTTTGTCCATCTCCATAATGGACATTGACAGCAGTCCACAACAGAGGTGAGCCACTCAGTAAGCCTCACTCACAGCCCAAGGTATGCCAGCTTCGAATGCACGGTTTCTTGGGTCTGTCCCTCGCATGATTGCAGACGCCTTCCAGGATTCTAGTTGCGCCTCTATACTCTCCTTAGACTTGAGCAATGTGTCTCTGGACGAGTCGCCGTCGTTGCCCGGAACTCGACCAAAAGCATGCATCCTCAACGTGTTGTCCATGTTCTCGGCGATTTGCCTGATGGTGTTGTAGCTGGCGTATTGTTCTTCTCC